TCCCTGTGTGAGGCAGGCCACATCATGTAGACAGCCAGTCACCCTGTGTGAGGCAGACCACATCATGTAGACAGCCAGTCACCCTGTGAGGCAGACCACATCATGTAGACAGCCAGTCACCCTGTGTGAGGCAGACCACATCATGTAGACAGCCAGTCACCCTGTGAGGCAGACCACATCATGTAGACAGCCAGTCACCCTGTGAGGCAGACCACATCATGTAGACAGCCAGTCACCCTGTGAGGCAGACCACATCATGTAGACAGCCAGTCACCCCGTGTGAGGCAGACCACATCATGTAGACAGCCAGTCACCCTGTGTGAGGCAGACCACATCATGTAGACAGCCAGTCACCCTGTGTGAGGCAGACCACATCATGTAGACAGCCAGTCACCCTGTGAGAGGCAGGCCACATCATGTAGACAGCCAGTCACCCTGTGAGGCAGACCACATCATGTAGACAGCCAGTCACCCTGTGTGAGGCAGACCACATCATGTAGACAGCCAGTCACCCTGTGTGAGGCAGACCACATCATGTAGACAGCCAGTCACCCTGTGAGGCAGACCACATCATGTAGACAGCCAGTCACCCTGTGTGAGGCAGACCACATCATGTAGACAGCCAGTCACCCTGTGAGAGGCAGACCACATCATGTAGACAGCCAGTCTCCCTGTGTGAGGCAGACCACATCATGTAGACAGCCAGTCACCCTGTGTGAGGCAGACCACATCATGTAGACAGCCAGTCTCCCTGTGAGAGGCAGACCACATCATGTAGACAGCCAGTCTCCCTGTGTGAGGCAGACCACATCATGTAGACAGCCAGTCACCCTGTGTGAGACAGACCACATCATGTAGACAGCCAGTCACCCTGTGTGAGGCAGACCACATCATGTAGACAGCCAGTCACCCTGTGAGGCAGACCACATCATGTAGACAGCCAGTCACCCTGTGTGAGACAGACCACATCATGTAGACAGCCAGTCACCCTGTGTGAGGCAGACCACATCATGTAGACAGCCAGTCACCCCGTGAGGCAGACCACATCATGTAGACAGCCAGTCACCCTGTGTGAGACAGACCACATCATGTAGACAGCCAGTCACCCTGTGAGGCAGACCACATCATGTAGACAGCCAGTCACCCTGTGTGAGACAGACCACATCATGTAGACAGCCAGTCACCCTGTGAGGCAGACCACATCATGTAGACAGCCAGTCTCCCTGTGTGAGGCAGACCACATCATGTAGACAGCCAGTCACCCTGTGTGAGGCAGACCACATCATGTAGACAGCCAGTCTCCCTGTGTGAGGCAGACCACATCATGTAGACAGCCAGTCACCCTGTGTGAGACAGACCACATCATGTAGACAGCCAGTCACCCTGTGTGAGGCAGACCACATCATGTAGACAGCCAGTCACCCTGTGAGGCAGACCACATCATGTAGACAGCCAGTCACCCTGTGTGAGGCAGACCACATCATGTAGACAGCCAGTCACCCTGTGTGAGGCAGACCACATCATGTAGACAGCCAGTCACCCTGTGAGGCAGACCACATCATGTAGACAGCCAGTCACCCTGTGTGAGACAGACCACATCATGTAGACAGCCAGTCACCCTGTGTGAGGCAGACCACATCATGTAGACAGCCAGTCACCCCGTGAGGCAGACCACATCATGTAGACAGCCAGTCACCCTGTGTGAGACAGACCACATCATGTAGACAGCCAGTCACCCCGTGAGGCAGACCACATCATGTAGACAGCCAGTCACCCTGTGTGAGGCAGACCACATCATGTAGACAGCCAGTCACCCTGTGTGAGACAGACCACATCATGTAGACAGCCAGTCACCCTGTGTGAGGCAGACCACATCATGTAGACAGCCAGTCTCCCTGTGTGAGGCAGACCACATCATGTAGACAGCCAGTCACCCTGTGTGAGACAGACCACATCATGTAGACAGCCAGTCACCCTGTGTGAGGCAGACCACATCATGTAGACAGCCAGTCACCCTGTGTGAGGCAGACCACATCATGTAGACAGCCAGTCACCCTGTGAGGCAGACCACATCATGTAGACAGCCAGTCACCCTGTGAGGCAGACCACATCATGTAGACAGCCAGTCACCCTGTGTGAGGCAGACCACATCATGTAGACAGCCAGTCACCCTGTGTGAGGCAGACCACATCATGTAGACAGCCAGTCACCCTGTGTGAGGCAGACCACATCATGTAGACAGCCAGTCACCCTGTGTGAGGCAGACCACATCATGTAGACAGCCAGTCACCCTGTGTGAGGCAGACCACATCATGTAGACAGCCAGTCCCCCTGTGAGGCAGACCACATCATGTAGACAGCCAGTCACCCTGTGTGAGGCAGACCACATCATGTAGACAGCCAGTCACCCTGTGTGAGGCAGACCACATCATGTAGACAGCCAGTCACCCTGTGAGGCAGACCACATCATGTAGACAGCCAGTCACCCTGTGTGAGGCAGACCACATCATGTAGACAGCCAGTCACCCTGTGTGAGACAGACCACATCATGTAGACAGCCAGTCACCCTGTGTGAGGCAGACCACATCATGTAGACAGCCAGTCACCCTGTGTGAGACAGACCACATCATGTAGACAGCCAGTCACCCTGTGTGAGGCAGACCACATCATGTAGACAGCCAGTCACCCTGTGAGGCAGACCACATCATGTAGACAGCCAGTCACCCTGTGTGAGGCAGACCACATCATGTAGACAGCCAGTCACCCTGTGTGAGACAGACCACATCATGTAGACAGCCAGTCACCCTGTGTGAGGCAGACCACATCATGTAGACAGCCAGTCACCCTGTGAGGCAGACCACATCATGTAGACATCCAGTCACCCTGTGTGAGGCAGACCACATCATGTAGACATCCAGTCACCCTGTGTGAGGCAGACCACATCATGTAGACAGCCAGTCACCCTGTGAGGCAGACCACATCATGTAGACAGCCAGTCACCCTCTGTGAGGCAGACCACATCATGTAGACAGCCAGTCACCCTGTGTGAGGCAGGCCACATCATGTAGACAGCCAGTCACCCTCTGTGAGGCAGACCACATCATGTAGACAGCCAGTCACCCTGTGAGGCAGACCACATCATGTAGACAGCCAGTCACCCTGTGTGAGGCAGACCACATCATGTAGACAGTCAGTCTCCCTGTGTGAGGCAGACCACATCATGTAGACAGCCAGTCACCCTGTGTGAGGCAGACCACATCATGTAGACAGCCAGTCACCCTGTGTGAGGCAGGCCACATCATGTAGACAGCCAGTCACCCTGTGTGAGGCATGCCACATCATGTAGACAGCCAGTCCCCCTGTGTGAGGCAGACCACATCATGTAGACAGCCAGTCACCCTGTGTGAGGCAGACCACTTAACAGGCCAGGCCATCGGGAAACCACCGCTCCTCCCAATAGCCAGTCCGGGACTGGGTACAGGAGGCGTAGAGCGAGGGATCATTGTCCACAAGTTAATCGATCGCAGATGGCGTCATGGTCGCGGATGAAAAAAAAGTTAAAGTGATGTTCCGCCCAAGTAAAGTCTATGTGCGGGAAACCCTGCAAACTTTGTTTAGCCATCCACCAAAGGCTCATAGTCAATGAGTCGTTGTCAGGGCTACCGCGAGCCCAGTTTTGAAATCCTGTTAAATGTGTGCTGGGTTAACTATATGTTCACCTTACTCCATATATTTGTAGATTCTGACTACGGAAAAATGTGTCAAAATGTTCTGCGCTAACAAAGAGTGCAGGTCAATTGGATTTATATTCTTAACAACGTTGAACCTTCTGTCCTAAATGAACAACTGTGAATAATTTCTTTAATTTATTACACTTCATTGATAGAGTCGTTTTTTAGTTGTTGGACTTCTATCCTACCTTAAAACATATCCTTCTTTTGGTTCTGATGTGACAATAGTGCTTGATGTGGAAGTCTGCACAATGCATCGCATTTGATAGAATTTGAGAGCACTTGTAGTAATTGTACAGGGTTAAGAAAGGATCAGGAATGTTTACTTCTATACATCTTACTACAGAGTAGAAAGCAAAGGCTTCTTGGGCCAAACAGACACAAGTAACTGGTGAACCAATTGCCCTCAAACTGAGGTTAAACACTCTGGAAAGAGACATCTGAGCACTAATATACAGAATCACATATTTACTTAACTGACATTTGGCCATCTGCTCCGAATGCATTTTTATTAATTAGATGTATATCAAATGAAGTGTACCTACTGGGGGAATAATCCCCTCAGCTTGGTAGTTCAAAGTTTGTATTTCAACTATTTCAATGTGACTATACCTCATTCCTAAATATCCAATTCCGACACGTTGAACTTCCAATTGAGCCTGATTGATTTAACCAACAACATGAGGACTGTATTGTTTCCTTTACCATTGAGTCTTTATAATACAACTGGGTAGGGGTTAACGTTAGCTACTAGCTTTGCTAACTGTAGCTTGCATTATAATAAGCATAACGACCTAATAACGACTATTATATTAAGTTAGCCTTTCCGTGATCTTGAGAGGTTTGACAGGGTCACGTTGAAACAATGAAATGCACAAACTGGTTGCGTATCTTGAGTTTCTCGGGCTGCTAAAATGGAAATTAGCGTAGGGCTAGCTAGCTAGCCTGCTGCCTAGCAAACAAAGAGCTCAAACAGGAGAGAGGATGTTAGCGTGTTAGCCAGCATTAGCATGTAGCGTTGCGTAGCTCTTTATGTCAGCAGTCAGAAAGAAATGCAACACAATTCAAATGTGGCATCCAGTTACATTTATTTTAAACATATCCAACATATAGACTGGTCTAGTGCTGATAAAAGCTAACCTAGCTAATATTAGAGTGCATACAGTGGTCGTGAGTAGAATGAACACAACAACACATCTGGAACATCACTCCGCATTATACCATAAATAATGTACACATGTCTCTATAAATGCTCAAAACAGTGTTTACCATGCGGGCTGCCTCAGCCCAGGTCCGCTCCTTCTTTCTCTTTTGTTTGTCCTTCATTTCCCCTGCGATGGTGTTTGCGGCTAGCCTGCTGTGTGTCTATAAAGCAAACTCAATACGATGGCGGTTTAGCTGCTTAGCAAAATGGCTAACTCCGTTCTAGGTGAACTGTGTAGACCCAAAACAAGACACTCCTTTTAGCTCCGGACGGTGCTGTGCTGTCTGCTAGTTTCTGATATATCTCGCTACTGTGCCTTGTCTAAACTAGCTGAACACACATCGTCTCTCGGTAGCACAGAAGCAGTGTGAGTGCAGGCTGGCGCTGCTGCAGGACAAGCCTCTTTGGAATGCAACAACCAGGTCAAAGGTCAAACCCTCCGCAGGAATGCAAGAAAAAACCTCCTGCTCTCTTCATGCAAATGTTACATTTAAACAGATGCTGCATGCAAATAATCATACATTATATTATTTTAGTCTTCCAATGCAAGGTATTTTTTATTTATTTAGCCATATTAAATATAACAATAGAGTCCATTCTTTAGAACACCAACATGTTGTGCCATTCATATTCATATTAAAACGGATTCAGAGCAAACAACGACTGGCCACCACGTTATCTATTTTAACTCTGCACATATGCAACTGTTTATACAGGCAACACTGTAAGTGGAGCAAATAAACACACCTGGAAGGAACCTCACAATAATAGCCGGTATTAATCTTTAATTTATGTTACAAACACTTAAGTTAAGTGGAACAAAGATAAACATTTGCAGCAAGGGTGTTGCATGAGATTATTTCAGCAAGGCAGTACACAGTACTCCGAATCTATTTCATCAATCAATTGGTCAATCAAAGTTTATTTATATAGCCCAATATAAAAAATGTTACATTTGTCTCAGTGGACTTCATAGTTTGTACAGAATATGAATATGACACCCTCTGTCCTTGGAACATCACATCGGACAAGGAAAAACATAAGGGGAAAATTGAATAAACCTCAGGGAGAGCAACAGAGGAGGCTCCCTCTCCCAGGACGGACGGACGGGCAATAGATGTCGTGTGTAAATTCAAAAGATAATACATTTACAACATAGGTAGTCCAAATGCTTGAAAATGCATGTGTCTATAAATAAAAAGATGGTGAATCCAGGTGGATGTCAACAACCAAGTGGGTGCCAACAAACGTACTGCTCTGCTGCATGGGGTTTGAATGGGCCTTGTACAAAGGTGAAAGAAACACAATTATCGAATTATGCATAGATCATGTTTCAGATCCTATGAGGAACATTGACACCAGTGATATTCTTTGTTGTGACTAATAAATCCCCAATACTCATCTATTATGAACATGATTCATAACAATCTGTCAGATCACAAGGGGTAGGTTGGTTTACAGGTCAACATTTTAACTTTATAGTCGTAAGGTTATCTAGTGTTGCTTCCACCACCTCAGAAATATCACCACTTTTCTTTCACTTTCACTCTTTGAGATACTGAATATATCACACAATTCAGACAACAACTAAGAAAAGAGAACAAATACACCATCGGTGTTTTATTTGTCAATATCCTCATGTTATTCTTGTGATTAAATTAACACCATTCATTGTTCACCAGTTTTGTTGTTGTTGCAAGCAAATCAAATAATTATTATAACATGTTTATATACACCAAGGTCTCTGTCTTTGTTTTTTACATCAGTTTTGTTTACACAAATCCTTCTAATGTTTGGAAATAGTTATAATGTTATTGTGTGTGTGTGTGTGTGTGTTTTTTGTGTGAATGGAAGTGGTTCCTGCTAGAGTTCCCCTTAGCCCGGGGTCTGACGTCACTCTCCCAGAATGCATGGCTTCCAGCGCGGCGCCCAGCAGTCCAGGCCCGGACTCTAGAAACATCTCTAAAACTTGCTCCAAAATGTCGACATGGAGACGGAATGGAGGCTGGAAGGATAGCCGGACTGAGACTCATTCGGTGAGTAGTGTTGTGTCCGTGTGTGTGGCCCTGAGCCAGAGTGGAACCCTGCTCGGTAACATGTAGAGGAGTTAGCTCCCGTAACACAAACTCCGATACAACTTAGTTAGCGCTCATCTTTTGTTTTTTAACCAGCATGCTGCTTCGGCTAACTTCACCCAGACTCACACTAACAGTAGTCAGTGTGTTCCCTCTGCATAAAACTAGCGTAACTAACACTGGGACCGCCAAGCATTAATACGAGTTTCTCCTTCGCATCCGAATTATTTTGAACAGCAAGGCTAGCAGTCACATTTAGCCCCCGTCTGGTAATGACCCCGTTCCAACACTGAAGCGCTTCACTTCAGACTCCATCATCCAGCCAGTCTGCCGTCGGCCCGAGGGGAAGTTTTCCCTTTTCATTTTGCTCGAACAGAACCAACATTTTTGCAGTTATATTCACACAATAGAGAGGGCTTAAGCAGAAAATGTGTGGGGATTAAAGCTTTATGGCAGTTCCATGCTGCGGACCCACAAGATGGCACTACCAGCTCCCTTCGCCGAACTTAAAGTCTTGTATTCCACCTTTTATCCAGACCCCCCGCGAGTGTATATAGGCTACAGTCTATGGTGTAACTACGATAATTGTATGATGGCAGGAAGAACATCCACTGCTGGAAAATGTGTTAGAAGTTTCTACTTCAAAGTGGCGAGTCATTTAAAGAAACAATCCTATATGCAGATGTTACCTAATATATTATCATTCCATAAATCAGAAAATACTGTCTACTGCCATTCAAAAAATAAAATCACCAATTATTAAGGAATAAAGGTGACGTAACCAAAATAATGGAGTTAGTTACAACATCTAGCATCCACTCAAAGTAGGGTAGCATGGTCCTGTTCATAGTGTTGCATCTCCTCCAGGAGCAAGATATAAGTTCATATCTGGAAGAATAAGTTACAGAGATGTATTATATCCAATAGTAAAGCAAAAATGGGTCCTAATATCCTACATTTCGTTGATACTGTTAATACCTATAAAAGTTAACTTTTTTAAATGCCTCAAAGTTGACTTGAGTTCACATTTTCAACGCAATTGACAATTGTCAGTCTTTTCTTTTGTCGATTTTTGCTGAACAGATACCATGTAATATTATCGATATGTAGCTTAGAAGATTTTTTTCGTCAAGACTTCTAATAATTATCTGGTTGAACTAAAACATACTTTTATAGAAAGAAATCCATGTTGTATTACTACTGATTTAAGAGAGATATCATACTTTTAATGTTTTTCATGAACTTGGCAATATGCTGTCCTTACCGTTTACGATTTCTTTCAAACTATTTAATTCTGTAACTCATGCTTTACCAAATGGATTCATTCAACTAATGGAATTCTTCTTGAGTATTGGTGATAACACATACATTATGGTGATAAACACAGGACTCTAATTAACCTGTTCAGCCCCAAGCCTGTTTTTCAGGTCTCAGGCTCGAAAATAACATGCCCAGAACAAATGACTATATATTCACTTCTAAAAGGGTTAAATTAATCATCTTTTTTCTCAAAGCAATGATAAACCTGTGAGTTGGATGTAGAAAAGTCAGAATCAATATAGAATATTTTTATTTTAAAGTAAATTCAGATTGAACATAGTAAAAAAATGTAAATTATAGTGTCCGTCCAAATAAAAAACATTACTTATAGTGAAAACCACCCTTGAATGATGGGATAGTAGACTAAAATCTTTAGGAATCCAAACTATAACATATAATAAGTACCCTGTATCAAGATTGATAGAAAACAAGTGACATTTGACCCTTTTTAAAGAGGTTTAGCAAAAAAAAAAACACTTCTGGGGTCATTTGGGTGGATTTGTCATATCTCTGGCCCCCCTCGGTCGATTTTGATGATTGACACCTCTTTTGAACGGTTACGGCCCCTACACACGGCGGCGGGCATGTCTGAAGCTAGACCAACAACCAATGACCTGAATCTCCCGCCCCGGACACACAAGCAGCGGTTTGATTCGCTAGAGCTTGTACTGGCATATGATTCGATTGGCTGACGCTTCCGTCAAAGCGTCAAAAGTAGAACATTGCTCTACTTTTGAAGCGAGCAACGCGAGCAAAGCTATGCTTTGCTCCCACAATGCAGTTCGGCGAAGCGTGACGTCACCCCATTCAAAGTGAATGGGCAGAAGCATTGAAGCGTCAACGCACGCCGCCGTGTGTGGGGGCCGTTAGAGCCAATATAATCGAAGGGGATGTTCCTAAATCCACCTACACGTTACCATTGAGGAGTGAGAGGGATGCGCAAACCAAAAGCTATGTTACGCTCTGAAAACTGAAAACTAGGTTATAGCCATAAATATGATGATGGATTATCAGTAATCATTTCAAAGGGACACAGAGACATTGGATTAACCTTCAGCAGCGTTTTTATCGTTTTAATGCCATTGAACACAACTTTTGATCAGAAAACAGCAAAGGTAAGACATATTTGCCGTTTTGGCTCCGTAAAGCTACGTGGTGTGTTGTCTGGCTTTGCCTTCGCTGCCCTGAGTTTTGGTCGCACAGTGATGATACTTGTAATAAAGTATTTATACCGTGAGTTCTGTGCTAAGTGCGTTAGTAATTTTTCGCTCAGGGCTAATTCAGAGGCCCGGCGTTAGAGTTGTGTTTTTGTTTGGTAACATTTTTTCATATCGTCAGTCAGTTGAGTTTCTTCCCGTTAAGTGGGTATGACACATTAATAGCCTGTCAAATGTTAAGAAGCCCTCAGACGCTGTTTCTTGCAGATATTGCGTTTTTTGCCGCGGGCCGTGGGGCTCAACAGGTTAAAGGGTTTCCAGAATTGCTCGAACCCCTTTTGGTCGCACAGGAAGTTGAGAAACTTGGAGGAGGGGCTTGTCACATTGGTATAGCTTTCCACATTAAAGGTCAGCACACCTTAAACCAGAGTTGTTGTTGTTGCCACTGCTAGCCAGAGTTCCTTCAATTATCACACAACCAGCAGTTGGTTTTGTTGAGCAGTAGCATTTATTCTCCAACAAATAGATGGTACACACACTGCACGGCTGACGTCCTACTCACTGCACGCACACACCGTTGTTCTCTAGGCTGCTCTCTCATCATCACTTGCCATCATTTTTTCTGATAAAAAACCCCCCACAACTGCATTAAACGCCCACAGCAAACAATATATACACACATACATACATATGCTTGCAATCATTTGTTGACAACTAGTGCTGTAACAATGCTACGCTGCTGCAAATCGGGAGCATCAATTTCTTTACTATAGTCCATTCAATTATTGCTAATATTGAACGTGTTGCAGGTCCAAACTGCACAGAAATACATCCAAAAAGTGTGAACAGTCCTCGA